CAGCATGTTTGAGGGAGATCATAGCACCAAAGTAAACACTACTGAAGACTAAAAGCAGAAAATAACAAAAGCTTGAAAGATTTATACCTCCTTTTCCAAAGAAGCTGGTTTTATACCAGAAGGGAGACTGAGGTTCACGAGATCATACATTTAATTCCAAAGAGATGCCTCAGACTGATGGAACCGATTTTGTTCTCACACAGGGGCTAAACAGCAGTGGTTGTGTTGCGTCACAATGAAGAAAGAAACTTTTGTGCAGCTTTTGTGGTAAATGAGATCAGGCATCACAGCTGCATTAAAGGACCTTGTGAAAAACATGACACAGGCTGGCTAATATCCAGCAGTCCTCCAAGTGGGTGCCTTTTCAACATGGGGAAGAAACTGTCTCCAGGAGCTGTTATGTACAAAATCTTGTTATGGGCAAAAAGAAACCTGCTCTATGTGTAAAGTAACACAGAGTTTACTATAATTGCAACCTCAGAAATCTAATCAATGAATTATTATTAGTCCAGATCTAATTACTGCAGAACAACAAAGGAAATAAAGAAATTGTACAGAAAGTTTCAATAATAATACTGCAGTTAAAATTATTATTAATACCTACATAAAAACTGTGGTCACACCATACAAAGTAAACCCAATTAGCCACAGCCTCCTGCCATAGAAAATGCGTTGTTACAGCTAAATCAAGTAAAATCAAAGCTCCAAGATGATCAGGAAAAACTCAGACAAAGCACATGTTAAGCCTCCACCCTGAGGTCTTGTAAACTCAGGACAAAGCCTGTGGACTGTTACTAGCAATGGCAACACAGCTGCAGCACTGTTACTAGTATTACTGGGCTACATGCTCTTTATTATCTTCCAATTCTGGATTAATATGTGTGTGTAGCAGAGGTAAATGTTTCCCTAAAGGGTATGGGAAGGGAGCAGGAATACTGCTGACTATAAAACAAGCTATTGCACTCTTTGCTTTATGAGCACAGTTCACAGTCCACGCGCGGTCCATTTGGACACGGCGGGTGTGTGCGCTGCAAGCGAGGTCACGGAAACCCAATGTAACAGCTGTGACAGCTGAATTTGAGGCCACACTAGAATAGCATAATAATGACTCCTGATTTTATAGCTTATTTCAAGGAAGTGGGTAATATTAAGTATCTTCCAAGTATAGAACAGGATAATTACGCAAGCTTTTGTCTAGTCATAGAATAGAAACTATATAAAGCAGTGTCAGGTCATCTGCTTAAAGCATTTATTCATGGCAGAAAGGAATGAGCATTTGGCTTTGAAAAAAACAATTTTAATCAATTTTTTCATCAGTATGGTCCATCATGTTACTCAGAAAAGGCTTCTTTCAGTAAATGGATTGTGAATCAATAAACAAAGCGGTACAAAGGCCACGGCATTCAAAAAGCTGCCAATTGTTGGAGCGGAAGACGTCAGAAATGAATATTCCAAGACAGATCCACAAATACATCAGAAACCAGCAGATAATACACAGAGATGCTACCTTTTTACAGAAACTCCAGAGTTCCATCTTGTTCTAAGAACCACTGAAATACACATAAGTAAGTTTCTATGTGTTTTATATGAGAAATTAGTACAAGATGGAGTTTGTTCTGAAGGTTTTTTTCACCAAACATTTTCAAGCTTATCCCTCTTAGAACTTCCAGAGTTCTCAAAATACGGAGAATGAATTGTCAGGCTGCCAAAGATCTTTCTGGAGTCAAGCAAAAAAATACTAAAACCTGCAGACTTTGTATTATACCTCAAAGGATCAACTGTTGAGATACACCGAATAGCCACAATTCCTGTAAGGTCAGTGAACAGCAATATTATTCAGCACTTTTTAGGATTTGGCCTCCAACAGAAAGAAGAAAAAGAGGGTTTTTAATCACACAGATCATAATGAATTTGTATAAGTTGTTCACATCAGGGCAATCTTATTTAAATGTCGCTAGTAAGAACTTAGAACGTGAGTCATATTATGTCTATCATAACAGTTAATAATTAATGAAAAAATACGTCATTTGGGACCTAACTAATATTTCTAGGCCATTTGTATGAATAGTTGCTTTCAACTGTGAGAATGCCAGTTGCCAAGAATTCAATATCCTCAGGTATTTCATAATTATTAACTGTACATTATGTTAGTCTCAAAAATCTCACTACTCTCTTACCAGGACTATAAGCTTTGTATCTGTTAAAAAAAAAATGATTCTCATAGCATAGTTTGAGCCTGAAGATTACATATTCAGTTATGGTGGTTTTTTTAAATAAAGATAAGGACAGAATATTTGTAACTACAATTCAAGATTGCACAGGCTGGCATGTTTGTTAATCATGAGGTTTCACATCTTTTCTGGAAGAATGTATTACTTAAATGGGAATTCTGGATGATTACAGCAAACCATATAATTGTCTAATTCCACTTTGAACACTTCTAAATTACTGACTTCAAAACCCACGATGCTGCAGTAAAACTTGACTCACAGGATTAATACACTTGAATCAGTTTTGAATTTGCCACATTTTAATGTAGCTGTTCTGTTCTTACTGCCCTACAAGGCAGAATTTCCCATTATATCTTCTTAAAATCATCTGTTAATAATGTTCATGCCAGTCCTGTGTTAAGGGGTCAGATAGGAATGGGGCCCCAAACATGCCAACATTGTATATAAAAGAAATATAAGCTAGTCTCTGCCTGGCGGATTCAGAAACCTGGAAGGAGGCAACAGAGGTAAAGGGAACAATGAGATGGCAGCTTACATCATACCTTTTTTTTTTTTCATTTCAACATTTCAGTCCTTTTCCTGAGGCTCGGCTGTGAAAGAATTGAGCAGACAACAAGACCAAGGTAACAAGGACACAGACCAAGCTATAGCACCAGCCTATCAAAACACATCAGAGGAGATTTTGGAGTGCAACCTTCAAGAAAGCAATTCAGTGGTACTGCCCTGACATCAGTTTCTAGACGTGCCTCCCTCTTCCTTCCCTGATAGCCCTTGTTCAGTTCTAGTACTACCTCAACCCCTACACACTCTGGATGAGGGGGACAGACTTTCCTATTTAGTACCTGCTCTCTAAGAAGCTAAAAATTCAGTGAATTTGTGCTTTCAATACATTTGTTAGCTAGAAAGCATGGCTATTTTACAGACAGAAAATCGGAAGACAAAAATTGTCTGGCGTGGGAAATGTGGGAACAAACATGTACCTCAACAGCACTCCTTTTTAATCTATGAACTTTACTTCCTTAAGCGTACTTAACATTAGCTAATACATGTAATACTTTTGTCATTATTTTGTATTAAGAAATATATGCATTTTTGTTAATAAAGCATTCCAAATTATGCATCTTCATTGGATCAATATTAATAATTATTTGGAGCACACTTCAGATGAATATGGACACAAACCACAAACTCGTTAATGCAAAGCAGTCTCAGGAATCATTGTATTTAATAGAATTGGCAAAATCAGTACAGAAGTGTTTCTTACACTGTAACTCTATCTCCCAAACCATTTAAGTGTATTAATGCTTAGAAATGACAAAAGAAAAAAAAACCACAAACCAAAAAGGAAACAGCTGCAAGTCGGTACTGTGTCCAAGATATTTTTTCAAAATTCAATCAGATGAGTGTAAGGTCCGTTTGTATCCAGTTTTAATACCTGCCTGTTTCCGTATGTGCCGTGCTTGATGAGAACACCTGCTTCCACACATTTGGTATTGGCAGCCAGTTCTTTTTCACACAAAGTCACAAACTGAGAATAAAGTTCAAGCCCTTTTTCTTTCTCAATGTTTGCATGGTACTGCATTTTTCTTCCCTTTGGTTTACCGCCTAGGGTAGCTTGTGGTATGATAAGTACATCGCCTGGTAAATCAAGAACAGAAACGTACTCGCTGCTTTCATTTTCACTTAATTTAACATTCAACAGCGCATTGACTGCAAATAAAAATAAAATAAGAATTAGTGCAACAGAAGTAAGTTAAACAGGACCTAATACAATATCATAAACGAGATTCAACAAATATTGCGATGCGTGACAAACTATTCAAGTAAAAGAAACTGCTTATTAATGAAATGAAACGAAACATGGTCAGTCAATAAATACTACTAACCAACTAAGATGTCTGAGTATTGTGAAGAATGTGAAGGATATGTGAGGGAGTTGGGGCTGTTCAGCCTGGAGATGAGAAGGCTCCAAGGAGACCTTTTAGCAGCCTTCCAGTACCTGAAGATGGCCCACAGGAAAGCTGGGGAGGGACTTTTTATAAGGGCATAAGGTGACAGGACAAGGGGAAATGTTTTAAACTAGAGCAGGGTAGGTTTAAATTAGACATTAGGAAGAGGGTGATGCATCTAAAGAGTTATTTTGGGAGGGAAGTGGTTGGCTGTCTGAAATTCTAAAGCTGATTCTGGCTGGACAACCCCAAGGGAACCCAGGATCCAATTAGCGACACTCAGACAGGCAATATTTCCATAGTACTACATGTTGGTGGAGATAACACCATCTTCAGTGCCCTTTGGAGAAGCTTGTGCCCTGACTGTCTTTTCATGCCAGCTGCAGTAGTTACAGCAGGACCCAGCTCAGCAGTTTGGTCTCCAGTGGAGCGAGTACCCTTCAGTGCTCCCCTTCAAGATGTGCAGGTCTTTTGAGAAAGAAAATGGGCAGAGACGTGCCCATTTGGCCCATAAGCCAGAATACATAAACTTGAAAATGAAATTGATGCATTTACTAACACTGTGTTTTCCAGTGTTTCTGTAACAAATCAAATAATTCTCCCAAAATTTCCTCCAGCACTGCAAAAGCTATGGAGACTATCAGCCATGCTTCCAAACCCATAAATTGTTTGAAGCAAAAAAGAGACGAGTTGTGATTCAGGAACGAAGAGCACTCATTCAAATAGTAAGACAAACACTCAGAGAGGATGGTCGTAGATGAATCTCCTCATAGGAAACAGAACTTGCTGTCTCAGCCTGTTTCAGCTGCCACACAGCCGAAAAGCTCATTATTCTCAAGTAACACTATCATGAAACCCTCACAAGCACAAAATCAATTTTCATATAATAGCTTTAAATACACCCAAAGATTTCAACTTAGCTTAGCATCACAAAAAGTCTGTGCCCTCCAAGACCAAGAAAGAACCTCCAGGAGCTGCTCTCAGCATTTTCAATAGCATCTCTGCTTGTGCACTGCCAGGTCTTTCTGCTGGTCCCAGCAAGTAGCCTGAAATAGACTATTATTTCAAAACCTTTTGCAAAACCACTCGTATCAGCCAGCCACAGAAAAGAAAAGGGGCACTTTTATCTGGAATATGTGGCATCAAGGATTTCCCAGGTGTTCCATTGCTAACGATGGAGAAAAGGAAGAAGAAGAAGTGAAATGAAAGTTAAAAACAAAACAAAACAAAAACCAACCAAAACTCAACCAAAAACCTCAAGCCAAAACAACAGTGTGAAGACAGAAATCACTACCATTTGACCTTATCCACTGCATCTTTCTCCGCTTTCATATAAATGTTAAAGTCCACATGGAGAAAAAGGAAATAACTGCAGTTATTGCTGTTATCACTTCTGAACCAGAAAACTGCACTTGAAATGCTAAGTATTATATAACATCTCTGAAATGAGATGGGAAGGTCACTGTTTGGTTATCCACCCAACTCCCTCTACTGGCTATAATTTTAAATATCCTTCACATACAGTGAGATCAGTGTTAAAATACTTCTCAAATCAAGCCATGAATTATTTGAAAACAGTTTTCTCTAAATTCAGTTCTGGATTGAATCTGTTTTCTGATACATGTAAAATGTCAAATAGCAGGTGTTTGCTAGGAAGTTATCATCATGGGAATTGAATTTTTAATATGTTGATCAGCAGTAGACAAAGTGAGAGGTATGGACAACTGTCAAAAGAATCAAGACTGACCAAGCTGTTCTGTCAGTCAAGTGACTGATTGGGAATGGTGTTATCTGATGGCTTTTTGACTTCTTGTTCAAATGGCTGCTCCCTTCTCTGCCTCTACTGCTTTGCTTCAAACAATACAAGAAGTTATAAGGATTACATCATACCCATTTTTGGAACAAGATCCTCATCAGCACCTTTGAAGAAGCATATGTAGATAACAAGTCCTCTTTGGATCTATGAAAGATTACAGAAACTTATGTCAACGTTCTCATTGTCCACCATGCACACACTGAAACAAGTATGAAAAATGACAAAATTACACAACAAAAAAACTTGCAAGAGAAGTTTTAGTTATTTAGTATAGCTTCAGACATCAAGCTTACGCATCACACTGTGGAAGCTTACAAGAGATATACTGATTATCTGCACAATGCTTCTACACACAATTAAGCCAATTTATTAGCTCCATATGAAGCCAAATT